TTTCTGCATTAAAACTGTCAAAACTCCAGAATTCTAACATGAAGTTGTGTATAAACCAATGGAGCAAACAACCATCTTCCCTCTTGTGATGTCACGCGTGACCACACCCACATTTGCTAAATACATACAGGATGCAGAAATGAGGAAGTAAATTATGCATTTTTAAAGCAGTTTTTCTCTAGGAAAGGGCAATTATTTTGCACCAAAAGTATTTTTGCAAGTCATTCTACACCATAATGAAAATATTTTTGATTTTTAATCAAAACCCAATTTTTCGTGTCGGTTGCCCTTTAATACTTTTTTAATTTGAAAGAGATCCCTGAATATCCAATACTGATCCTGTAAAATTCCTTCCACAGTTTATGATTAATTCTTATCACTGCATTGTAATTGTGAATTAGTGATAAGATGCATAATGCTGTGAAATAATGTGCAGTGTATAAATATATAAACTTTTCTTGTGACGTCATTCAAATCTTAATATAAAAAAACAGCAAAATATAAAGTAAATAATATAAGTTAGAATAATGTAACTATAAAATTCACACGCTACAAAATAAAAGTTTTTTGTCATTGAAACACAATAATAAAAAAGCAGAAAAACCAATGTATTTCTCTACTTTCATTTTATGTAAATTTCATATAAACTAACAGGAACATCTTCATCATTAGTGTCCTGGTCACAGCACACCCTCAGCTCAATATAATCAGTAGTGGCTGTGTCAAATTTTCTGTAGAACCATGGTAAATATGGTGATGAACAACAATCAGTTTCTTGGGAACAACCTTGACCGTCCCAGAGTGGGTCAGCACTTCCTTCTTCACAATAATAATCTTCTCCAACAAACGAAGGAGCTTTTTGTGAGCTACGAGGAGAACACGGACAAATTATACGGTACGATCCAACAAAAGTCCAGACATGTTGACGAGGGGATCCACGTGTAAGACTAACACCATCAACGTAAGAAGAGTCAATATTGTTGCGATCAGTTAAGTAATGGAAAAAAGCATCGGGAGTAGCTTTTGCATATCCCTCTACTCTACCACAAATCTGTGAATAGCTGATACCATTAGTAAAGAACTTAGCTGATGTACAGCTACTACCATCAGACTCAGGTCTTCCACAGTATCTCTTCCCTCCTATAGTGTACAGTCTAAACCCAGTGGGACAGTTATGTGTAGGATCAGACATATCCAGATATGCTACTCTTGTCCATCCTCCTCCTAAACCACAGAGCTCATCCATGTTACAGTAAACAGTTTGGCAATTGATATAATAGTAGCCTGTTTGACTGTCGGGATGTAACCTCTTAATGTCATCACAAGATATTGGTTGCAAAGATGATAACAGTGTAGCTTGATTTTGCAGTTCAGTAACAACTTTGTTAGAGAATTTACTGATATTTGCAACGTTACATAAACCCTCAATTATGTTCACTAGTGTATTAGCTGAATTTTTAGTTGCCTTTAAGATTTGCATCCTGGTGCAGTCGCCACTGGAACTGTACTTCAACAAATCATTAACTTTTAATGCAGTGATGCTCGAAATATGATCAGTGGCATTCTTCAACTGGAGAGTTAGTTGGTCAATTATTTGCTTACTTTGTTTCTCGAGAGCCATACTTAAGTCTTCAACCTTGGCTTGTAAGAGGGTGTTATTCTTAACAAGCTCAGCAACAGATACAGAATGTATGTCACCACCTCCTCTGATTAAATCTATGCCAACCATTCCAACCAATAAAGCAATGAGTACAGCTAATATTCCAATTGCTATGCTAATTTTACCCTGAGATGGAATACACCTAGATCTATCATTAAGGTGTTTATCATCTTGAGCCAAGATAGACTCCTGTGGTGTCTGGCCCTTGCTAACTTCCATTATAGATAGGAATTTTTATCAGACCACGCCCACGTGAAAGAAACGTTAATGACGCCCACGGTATAAAAAAATGAGTTTAGTCATTCATGAACCACTAGCCAAATATAAAAAATTATAAAAGCAGCAAAATATAAAATAATAAAAGTAGAAAAATATAAAAATAATAAAAGCAGCAAAATAAAAAAATTGAACAGCTTGCAAAAATATTTAAAAATCAGCTAGCAAAAGAAAGGTAGCGAAGTATAAAATGCCATGTTTTTCTTAGCAGCTTAGCCTCTATTGTTATTTTATTTAAATTTCATATAAACTCAGTAACAGGAACATCATCATTAGTGTTCTGGTCACCAGACACCCTCAGCTCAATATAATCAGTAGTGGCTGTGTTCAAGTTCCTGTAGAACCATGGTAAGTAACTAAGTATGTTGATGAGCAACAATTGGTTTCTATGGGTAAACAGTCCTGACCATCCCAGAGTGAATCTGCATTTCCTCCTTCACAATAATAATTTTTTCCAACAAATGAAGGAACTTTTTGAATCAAAAAAGAAAGTGAGCCATGTATAAAGTATTTGAATCATGATAAATTATGTGTCAGTTGATAAAAAGACACTGCTTTTTATGTACATTAAATTATAAAAAGACAATGATGTTTAAGAAGAGACAGAAAGAATTATAGAAGAGGTTCTGTAATAACATTTAGTGGTCTAATGACATTGTTTGGAATATAATGTATATATTAATTAATATAATTATTATGGATTCTATTTTTATTCATAGTGGTATTAGCAATAAGAAACAAAAGATATAATAGGGTGGGTAGAGATTTTCGACCCTTTTAATAATGAGATCATGCAACAACTGGAGAAAGCACAGAATGAGATTGCAGCACTACAGAAACAAATAAAACTAAAAGACTAGCAACTCCTTGAAAAGACAAACAAGTACAATACAAGATATTAAATATCAACATAAATTAATAACAAATTTGTATAAAATGTATGTACACATGTATAGCAGGGAATAAAGAGTGAATATTAATGTCTTAAGTACCAACTCGAATTTTTCAATCAAGCATGTTTTCTAGATTTGCACACTGAGAGCTGAGAACTCGGAGAAAAATAAAGAGAGCAGAATGAAGAAAAACAGAATCCAAACTCTCCAAAGAGAGAACACTGAATTACAAGCAGGCCCACTGAGAGGGGGGGAGCAGGGGATAAATCCCCTGGGCCCCTCACTTCAGGGGGCCCCATAATAATGTACATTATCATTAAAGTATAATAAGTCATCTTTTAATACATGATTAAACATGTGCCTTTCTGGTTTTTAAACTAGCAAAATGATCTATGATATAAT